AGCCTCTAGCCGGTGTACAGTACAGTAGTTTTGTAATATTATACCAAAAACTCATTTGTTTTAATTAATTCTTTTGATCACCAAAGTGAAGCTCAAAGTGCCACTAAGATGCAGTAGCGTGTTGAGCATAACTTTTATAGATTACAAAAATTACCAAGAATACCAGGAACATCTAACAGTAACGGTGTGGTAACCATATTATAATGAATGCTACTGGCTGCGGCAAATGAACCAAATCTTTTCTGTCCTAGGCTACATATGCACAACAGGTACCAGCCATCTGTCCGACATGTGTGCTTCCATTCGGGAGCGATTTGAGTAGTTGTTTTGTTTCGTCACAGGTTTTACTCGTTAACTGTGCAGCGAATTTAAAAAAAATTTTCTTAAAGAAATAATAAATTTGATGAAAGGAAAGCCTTCAGGTGGAGGAGGTGTGGACGACCGGTGCCTGAGCGATGCCGACTGTGACAGTTATCTGCAATGCGTCGACAATCGCGGAATGCTCTCCTGCCAGGTTTGTTCTATTTAGTTATAGATGAGCTTTTTTTAGAATTTTTCATTGAAGCTGCACTAGGTAAATTATTTGGTATATAAAACAGATGCTGCTCTCTCTTTTTTGCCAACGATGTGGCAGCTGGCAACTTTCCGTTCTGCATTGTCCTGAGCTTTACGTTCTGCATAGCCGCATCCGCGTAAATTCATTTATCTGGCTTATTATCTTACAAGTGCTTAATAAATATTGAATATTATTTTAAAATATTAACTAGCACTAATTTCACTGCTAGCACTATCCGAGCATTTTAACGAGGATGAAGTAATCCGGTTCTTAAAAGATTAACGCAGTTGAGGATTTAAAACTCTGTGTTTCATATAATGTCAATATCGCAATAAGAACGATGTCATCCGTATGACACAGGTAACATAGCAGCCAGCCACCGGTCTTCGGATCAGTTTTCCAATGCAGCTTCCAAAATATCTTTCCGAAAAAGTCCATGAAAGCTTTGAGCAAAATGAGATCGCTTTGCTTAACTAAGTTTCAGTCGTTTACACAGACTAGAGTGACTTTCGCCTCTCACAGAGAATGAGTATGGGGGCAGTTTTTACTTTCACTTATATGCAACGGTTGCCAGCGTACATTTGAGGAATCAGTATTTGCAACAAAAATCTTATGTCGATAAAAAGATTAACAGATAAGGAAGAGCTTGCACTCGTGTGTTGTTGCTCATCACTATTTGTCATCTGTTTAAGGTAATACCCGGAAAATTACCATATATGGAATGTACGAGCGAACTGGACTGCAACCGTTTCCAAAAGTGCGTATTCAACGAGCGATACAAGAAGAATCTATGCACAACGGTGCCACAGTACCGTATGCTTTTCAGAAATTTCGGTTACTTTCTGTACAGCTGGTGGTCATAGCACAATAGGAAGTAGCTCTACTGTCGTGCAATTAGTCGAGATTCAACTTCGCTGGCGTGACAACCGACCCCTCTACGATTTACGCATATTCATTACTGGCAAGGAGTCAAATTCACCACGATTTTATGTCAAATTGGTGCTGCAAGGAGTCAAACTCGCCATCATTTTAGTTCCAAGGAGCCCTCGAAAGAGAGAGTCACCGGCAGTCTTACCAGCGTTGATTACTATAGGCATTTGCTTCACTCGAGCTACTTCCCAAGCACTTCCATCTCACATGACGAGCAAATAAAGAGAGGAGTGACTTATGATTTTGATTTCTTAAACTGTGCTATTTTTTCCTACCAGTATAGAGAAGTTGTGCATTATAGTTGATCCCAGTATTCTTAGAGTAATTCTCAAAAACTTCTGTTGGGATTACTTCGAGTGCGCTGTGTTACAACAATTAACGGTTTACTGGACAAGCAGTCGCCTTCCCATAAAGTCGAGAATTTTAAAAGTACAGTTTGGAAGATTGTGGCCATTCTGTTTCTCAGTAATGTCTTTTTTCTAGGCTTGTTTCTGAAGAACCGGAAGGCAGTTAAGCTGAACAATGAG